TCTGATGTGGCCATGCAAAGTTCAGGCCTCTTAGAGAAAAGGTTGGATTTGGGCTATAATTACGTGGATGTGGCCATCAAAGACCTCTGACAACATATTTTCTCCACAGGGTTAAAGGTGATGTAGGAGCCTGTCAAAATAAGACAAATGCCTGGAAAAGATATCCTTCCTGACATTTATTTGGACTTGTATAAACATTCAAAACATGCAACGAGCTTGACTGAAATTATCTTTCTAAACCAAAATGTCAGCATTTTAAAATAAAATATGAATAATAATCTACAAAATAGCCACTGGTTCTTGTCCACCACTGCTGAGGGTATTGACCAGGAAAGCCTGTGTTGGTGTCTGAATGTCACTTCTGATGTGGCCAACGGTGCCATAGGCAAGGAAAATAACATGAGAAGACAAAAGAGAGTAAAAAAGTTCTAATCCATAGTTGCAGGTGTGTTGCACTTCTGTTGCCCCAGCACAAGTTCACAACAGAGTTGATGACAAAGGGCTGGGCCCCATGCAGCCTATTGTGGCCTGGAAAACAATATGAAGGCTATGAATGGCTAATCCCTCTGGACTGCTGACAGGTTGGTTCTTTAAGCAACCTGGGGACTCATTCCTCCACTGGGCTGGGCCACTGTCTGACGGGGATGGGAAAACCCAGGCTACTTACAGTGACTGAGCCTTGGCCCAGAGCAGAGACTGGGAACCATTGTGAGAGGAAAATATTATCTCCATTGTCAGGTTGTGGGCATCTTTGTAATGCCAGAAGATGAACCTGGGGAGAATGTGCAACTTGAGGGGAGGTGAAATAGCAGTGGAACCAGCTCAGGATGTGTGAATGATATTCAGCCGGGACTTAAGTTTAGAGGTTTTTTTGTCTGAAATCTTGTTTTTAAACAATTATTACTGAGCTCACTGGAGTTACACAAAAAGCCAGTGTTCAAATATATCTAATTCCCCCTTTAAACCCAATGTTTTTGTATTACAGTTTTTAAAATGTTTCTAAAAGTCTCTAATGGGGGCATGGATTGTGTGTATGCATAAGATATGTGTGTTTGTATGCCTGCAAGAGCGCATCATGATGCAAACTTTACATATCCAGAAACACAGAGACAATGGAAAAATATGGACTCAGTGTGTAAGTAAAACAAGCTTGGTGGTGTAAATGTCTTTGAGACAGAAAGGTGAGAACAAGATAATAGGACAAGAGGCACCACCCAGTCCTTGCAAACATGGCTGGGATAGCTCCATATACCCTGAGAGCAAAAACAAGTATCTGTCTGTGCTCCCATTGCCGGCGTTGTCTATAATCTATTAACACATCAGTGAGCCACACTCTCGCAGGGTGAAACGTTTCTTCTTTACAATGAACATGGACACTATTGTTTATTTCGGATCAATCCTACATGCACCAGAAACACTCACTAGAGCACCAAATCCACAGCTGACAATAATCCTCAGCAAAAGCACAGTTTACTCTTGTTTTAGAGATATTTGCTAAAACTCTAATGGCTGGCTCCTTTAGGAAATGATTTGCCTTTTTTAAACAAAAGCATAGATTGATAGTCTATAGGTACAAACGGGTTTGGTGCACAGACAGGCCTGTGGTGTCAAAAAGAGAAGGGCAAGCATTGTTTTTGGTCTTGTTGACCATATAACATATATGGAATATCAATAATGAAAATACTGTTCAATGATCAATAGAATAAAAGACACATTTTGAAAATTATATCAAAAACATTGAAACATTCAGTACCAGTTATATTCACAGAACTACATATGCTTAAAAAAGTGAAAGGACAAATGTGTACAAACAACAGCACATATACACTTGCACACACACACACACACACACACACACACACACACACACACACACACAAACAAATATGTTACTGTTGTTGTATAGTAACCTTCAGCAACACAAACGTTTTGTCCCACCACTTCCTCCAGCCCAAGTCCAGCTTTGGATCTGGTGCAAGTATCTCTAAACTGTTGGAGATGTTCAGTAGAGGAATTAATCTCCCTATGGGGATGTGTATACATTAGGAAAACATGACTGAATTAGACTGGGATTTATATATTCCTTTTCTCATTAGTGGTATCGAGTCACTGGATACTGAATAACAAACATACTAAAAGTAGGTTTGGAAAGCTCAAAGTGTCCAGGCTGGATTCCTGCAGAGTATGCAACATAAAATTAGTGCTTTTGGGGAAGGTACAAAGGCAGCCTTGCTGAAACCCCAGTGTTGGCTTTGGAGCTATAGTTCCTTCCTGTTCATGGAAATTTTTCTACAGATAATAATGCTTCAGTTGTAAAGAAAAAATGGTATTGTGCTGACCTTTCAAGGTGGAGGAAACTATATTATATCAAAGCAAAGTGTTTAGCCCCAATTTCTTTAATATCTGAAAATGGTTTTAAAAAGAAAAGAACAATGAAAATACTTAAAAAATATACTTTTATGTGAAAAACACAAAGGAACAAGAGGGTAAATGTAATCATTTGTATTCCCAATTAAATACCAAGTATTAACATTTGTTGAAGAAGTGATGTTTGGTGCATAGAAGAAAAATATCCAGGAAAAATAATGTAATACTGGTGTTTCTCAGTCCCAGTATATAGCAGAAAGTAAAGCAGTACGTGCCTGACTTGTTTGGCTCAATGTTGACCAATGTGAAGATATGCTGACCCCTGCTGGACATAAGGATTCATGGCTCCTGGAAATCGAGACGTATACTGAAACCACTGCAACACTGCTTAAGAAGGCAATGAGCTTCTCTTGGCTGTATAATTGTTGTATTATCCTTGTCCTAAAACTTGAAACTTGGCCTTTAAACAACTTTTTTTAAATTTATTTTAAGCAATTTAAAGGCAAAATCAGTATATGTCCCTTTTTTTTCATCACACATTAAGGATGGCTCTGTTCTATTCAAGTGTCCCAGTGAGCCACAACAGTGAGAGTGAGCCAGCATGAACAATACAACCATCTTTAATTTTATTATTTACACCTGTGCTTTGTTAAAATATCCTCTGATATTTCTGCTTTTAATATCTAATGCTTCATTCAGACTAACTGGAGCATTTTTTTAATGAGTACAAATGTTTTATCGATTAACTAACATCAACTCAACATTGAGGCCTAAAGAGAAATATTTTTAAAAACTAGATTTTTAGAAAATGGCAATTTCAACCAATCTAGAACTTTTTTTCACAATAACTAGAATAACTTTAGGACAGTTACTTAATGTGCTTTGGCTTACCTCTTGGCTGTGTGAATAACAATGCTTATTTGCATATATGCAGTAAGTACGACACAGATGGGGTTGGTGTAACTCAGCAGTAAAGGAAGTACATTTTCTTCATAGGCTTTAAACTGTTTTAATTTTTCATTAAAGAGACCTACTCTTGATATCCTCTCTACAAAGTGATTTTTTTTTAATTGGAAGAATTTATATTAACTAACTGAGAAGCCACAAAGTGTACATTGTAGACAAATGCATTATTATGATTTTTTTGTTTGTTTGTTTGTTTGTTTTTTAAATTTTTTGGCTGATTGTGAGGAATATCCTGAATTTGTTCTATGTTCATCACATTCATCACCACTAGATGCCACTCATACAACATTACAAACTGACCAGACCTGAAATGAAACTGGCTACAGCAGCACTGTGTCGCCTTAACAGTAGTGTCTTTATTGCACCAGCTAGTGCTGCCGTTAATAGGCACAAACTGTCAGAGAGCTGCCGTCAACTCACTGTGGGTGAACTATTCCATGTCCGCATGCCATTTTTTGTTAAATTAATTAAATTAATTAAATGGCGCCTCACTTTCAGTGCAGCCAAAATGCACATTGCTTAGAAGTTGCTTTCCTTGAAATAGGGTGTGCAAGAGTGGGCACAGACTGTGTGTGAGAAGGCAGCTCATTAGCTGTTGAGGTCCAGCAGATTGACTGGTTTTTCCCAGGCGAGCAATTTTGGGAAAGTCACCAACATGGCCAACAGCTGCAACTCTACATGAACCTGATGAAAACTCTTCCTCTCCTCTCCACATCTCTGTTTTCAGCTACGGTACTTTGTTTGCCTGTCCCATCAAACTGTCCCGGTCTGTACTCACATCTGTACTCACATCATTTTGTGGTTCAACTGAATAAAAGTGAGTTCTGTCTGTGATGTGTGATAAGGGTATGTGATAAAGGATAATTTCATAATTAGATCTCATGATGGTGTGTGTATTTTGATTCAGCATTTGTCCCTAAATGAGCACTGTGGAAAAGATACTGTTAACTGTGTTTTAGCAAAGAAGAATGATTAGAATGTGTTTGACAACAGAAAATCCACTTTTATGTTCATTTGAATAAAACACTGATTTGTAAACAGTTTTCCACCCCTTCCAAACTGCACTCTTAGAGATTGTTACATGCAAAAATGACACAATATCAGATAGTCTTTATTGGGTTTTCATGTCATACTCTGTGAGTGCTGCAGAAATACTGGCCATGTCTCTTTTGAACCATTAAGTTCGGCTTACTGCACATTTCAAGTCACATAATCTGTACTTTGTGATTTAGCCTGATTTATGGATGAAGTAAACACATAAAAGCATACTGTTAAATCAATGGAATCATACATTTTAACATCGGGGGAAATGGCTGGTGTTAACACATTGATCTGAAATGCAAACATTTTAAAGCCCAGATACTGTATATCACAAAGAGAATAAATAGATCTATTTTATAGATTATCTGCACATGTGTATTATCCTTTGATATAAACAAGTCAAATTAGCAAAACAGAAAAAGCACAACTGCATTTGAATTCCTGTCAAAGGTACTGGAATATATACAGATAGGAATATTAAGCAGATTGCTACTGTATATTACAAACAGAGTGATCTCACAAGCCCTTATTGTATGTCAGTGAGATTCTAGTGATGTGATCAATACTGTGTAATTAAACCAGGTTCACTGATCAATAGTTTGGCAAGTACGGATATCTATTTGGGGATTTAAAAACAAAAACAAAAAAAAACTGAAAACAGGAAGTTAGACTCAGTGTAAACATGCCATGGTACTGAATTCAGCAAACATGCACACAATGAACTACAGGTTTGTTTAGGACATGAGGTCACAGACGTAGCTACTGAAGAAGACTTCACTGGCTGACTTCAGGTTCTAGAAGAAGAAATCCGGTTCGTGAAGAGAGGTGGACTATGCTGTAGCTCCACAAAGTCTTACAGTGGATGAGATGTCTTGGTCTTCTGATCGCCCTGTTATCATAAATGGCCAAGTCTGTTAAAGCAGAAGACAACAGTTTTATGTAGCCGGGTCAAGTAATGAAATTACAGTTTCCTAAGGGGAGTTACTGAAACTCTCCCTGGTGCAGTAAGGTGTTGTTGAGTAAGTGCCCAGTGGGTGTCGCTATAATAGTTGTATACATGCAGTGCTCACCCACACCTGTATGAGGGCGCATCTGTTGTGACGTCATCACAGGCGAGCGTCCCGCGGGAAAAAGAGAGAAACAGAGACCGAGAAGGAGAAAAAGAGAGAAACGCAGGGAAATACAAAGCTCCGTGACGGCGTAAGTGTCTGACAGAAATTATATGAAGTCTGTATGGGTTACAGGTTGTAGTTCTGTGTTATTTGACAACATTGTGAATTTGGCTTGTTCAGAGGGGAGACAACACTGTCTACGACTTCGGGGTATTTACTCCAGAATTCCGGCATCTTGAAGTGAGTTTGAGTTGCTTCTAATGTGAAGTCTGAATATATTGTATCTGGAAAGTTATCTGTTGATATAGTTGTACCAGATTGTGCACGGATAATTTTGAGTGTATGTGCTGTTAGGAATAAGTCCACTACTGTTGTCTTATTTTTGTTCGACATATAAAAAAAGGGACTGACTATTGTTATTTAAACCCTTCTGTTAAGTAAAAACCAACTTCAACCAAAATTAATGCTGTCCTATTATTTGATAACAAGGGCAGTCGGGAAATAGGACCCACATTTGTTTTGGAGCTGTATGTGTTGGTCCGAAAACCACACACCTGGCCACATCCCAGCCCCAACATTTATTAGTAAAGAGACACATCAAACACATCTTTCAGAATCCCCATGAATTGTATCAGTCCTGAAAAAGATCTACATTTGGTGCAAACAAAACAAATTTAACTGAGGTATTTAGTTTTATGTCATTTCTAAACATTGGATTAGCCATTTTACCTTATAAGACGCTATAACCTGCTAAAGTGAAAAAATAACCCCTAATAAAGTTACATCTTCTTACCAGATTGACCGGGTGTACAAAGCTGTTCTCGAATCGGTCATCCTGCAGAAGTTGTCTAAGGTGAGATATGTAGCTCGATGCAAGTCGAAGCGTGTCCAGTTTGGACAGTTTGGTGTCCGCTGGTACCCAGGGCAGGCTGGTTTTAAGTCTGGAGAAAGCTTTGCTCAGCACTCTCATCCGCGCCCTCTCCCTGGCATTGGCCGCGTTCCTCTGCAACTGCCGCGCATCTTTCTGACGCGCCCTGGAGAGTCTGCGCTCATGTCTCATACATCCGTCCACGCCGTCGTCCTCCAACTCGTCGTCCAAATACCGGTTGGAAGTACAGCAGGTCATTTTCCGCGCGGTCTTTTGCAAAGGGTCTGCAGTTCTTCTGTGACATGTCTCATAGTCCTCAGCATCGCTTACTGCAGAGCCAGTGGACATGGCGGCTTCACCTGCGACTTGGAGGCAGACAGGAGAGGCCCTTTGCGGACAGCTTTGACTGAACAACGTGATTAGCTTTTATAAAACTAAAAGAGTTAACAGGCCACCACAGTTTCTAAAATAAACCTTATTTGAAGTTCCCAAAAATGAAAAACCATCTGGCATGAGGTCAAGTCTCACAATCGCGGTTCTCTCTAAAAATGACTAAATGAATATAAATGCCTGCTTCCCGTCTGATTTAAGTGTCCTGGACTTCTGTACATCACTACAGTTTTTTTGTTCGAACATTCCTCCTCCCCCTTTTTCTCCAAGCCACCGTGACCTCAGTGTGACCATAACTCTGTTTCCCTGTGCAAACTGTTAAACACTTTGCTCATTTGCAGCTCGATGGCTGCATTAAGCCTTGTACAGAAATAACTTGGTAAATCCAGTGGGAGCTGTAGTGAAACTGCAGAATAACTTTTAATTATACTAAACAGAGATACTCTCTCCAATGTGGTGTGTTACAGGAGTAATGCACCTTTTGGACTCATTGCAATGTTTTTAAAAACTGGAGTCACCCTCAGTTGCTATTAGTGTAATTCAAAAGCCAAAAAGACACTTGTGGCATTTTTTTCTGCGACTGAAATCAAATATTGTTCGGAAAGACGGAACTGCTGCAGAAGTTCCCACAGATGTGTTGCACTTGTAGGTTGCTTTGCAAAGTCTGGACACTGTGCTACCATTCCATCATTTGAAGGCTATCATCTTGTTCTTTTCTTCTACACAGCCTGTAGCTTTTTAAATAATTTTTGGCTCCTTATCTTGCTACATAATAAAACACTGAAAAGGCTTGTGTAGTAACATGGCTTTTTCCAACACTGCCTTTCTCCAGTACAGATAAAAATGTGTTGCTGTAAGTAATCATCAGAAGTTTAGACACCTGTAGAAATTGTTTGCATACATTTTTAAGGTGTAATTTACTTCCACCACTGAGGGAAAAAACAAGTTAACCTATTACTGTTTCCCTGAAAAGGGCTTCTTTTATATGAAATGTATAATGAAGTTTTTGGTGACTCTGGCAGTTTGTATCAGTTAAGGTTATTCACTGCACTGCTGCTTAAATGTAAAAAAAAAAGACAGGAAAAATGGGAGTGCTCTAATACTTTTGACTGATAGTGTATATAGTAAACATTCCCTTGGTCTGTCGGTCCCACAGATGTGTTTTGGTAATAGAAATGTCCTGAGGACCTTATCAAAAGTGTCTAATCCTTTTCTGGTTTCACAGAGGGATTGGGTTTCTGCAGATGGAGCAGCCTTTCACACGCAGCCTGTGTGCAACAGCACCAGCTGTTATTGGTTCCCATGACATCTGGAGCGTTGGCATGACAAGGGTGTGGCAGAGGCAGCGGGGCACCATCTTCATTCCCATAGTACCGCATTAGTTTTACTGTGCATTTTTGCATGAGACCATACAGGTCAGACAACGTAGCTTGCAGAAAAGAAGAAGGGACTATGATGTTCTAGGCCTTACACAATGCTGCCAGATTACAAATCTAAATGTGCTTACTACCTAGAACGTTTCAGAGAAAGAAACACTGTATTTGCTGTACCAGGGGAAACTGGATCAAGTTTGAAGTAGTGGAAACCCAATTTCTCAGTAAAAATAGAAATTCTGTGTCCACACAGTATTTACTTTCTCATAATAGTCCCAGAAAATCCCAGGTCCCAGGTTTAACCCTTACTCCATAAGTGTGAAATTAAGATTTTCTTTTCTTATAAAAATATAAAAACCCTGCCAAGGATGAACCTAAATGCAGCTGAGATCCATGCTTGAAGTTGGTAGCTGAATGCCAGGGTCACTATAGGGGAGGAATTACTACGTTAAATGCTTTACTGTACTGTAGCAGTTCCCAGGATGGTGTATAATTTCAAGCAGCACTCTGGCTTGAATCTCATGTTAGTGAGCTCCTATTATGTTCAGTCTTTAAACATGTTTATCACATATTGATGTTCCAGTTCAAATTTTCATTGCCATAAAGCTTTTCATTGTCACTTTGAACTGCTGTGCAGTTTTCCTCAGCTCATGTTTCCCTCTTTCCATGACCAGGAATACTCCAAGGACACATTGCCATGCTTCCCACAGTCCTGCTCTTCAGTGCAGTTTTTACAGTACCTGACATCAGCAGGACCTTGGATGTATCTCAGCTAATCCTTGGATGTCAGAGCTTCAGGCATGCTGCCATCTCATCCCCTGACTCTCCATCCATCAGTGAGGTGAACGGCTCACTGACACACTTGAAGGCACAAGCTAAGGGACACAAAAGGGTACTGGCTATGTGACACATATTTCAGCTGTTTCACTGACTGTCAACAAGAAGCAGGTTGACATAAAACATCCTACTTATTTGTCATTCTAGAGATGTAGCTCCTCAAGTAAAAGTAGAAAATATTGTCCAAAACATTAGTGTAATTGATAGTTACATGGTTATTGTAGTCGCCCTGGGAATAATTAGGTTCAGAGCCAACAGAAATAAATATCACTTTAAACTTGACTTGAAGGGAGAGCTAGAATTTGTCTATCAGCAAAAACCTTTAGGGGTCACAACCTCTGCTGGGAGAAGCAGAGGAACAGGTGCAGGCTCATGATGTCAGAGGCCTTTTTCTGTTTACCTCCTGACCTCCTGTGATTCCCATGATTGCCACTGAAACAGGTTGCAGCAGATGAAGCAGCAGCAGTGAAGAAGGAAGAACACAAATGTATCGACCATTGTGAAGCTTTAGAAGTTTTACTGTGTCATGCATTAAACCATTCCCAGCCTGTATGGACTTTAAAAAAACCCACAAGTTTGCACCCGATCTGAATGTTGTCACACCAGTCAGTGGCCCGTTATCACTTGTTTTCAACAACGTAGCCCATTTATGGCTCAGTAGGAACCAACTTTGCTTAATAGTGGACTTAAGAGATTGTTGTGGCCACTAAAGGTCCTCTAATATCTATCAAAGAAAAGCACCTACTGAGCATCCGCTTACTAGTAGGTGGAGCAGAGACCTATTGACAAATAAGTCCTGATAAGTTAACATGTGATACCAGGCCACTAATGATGTGACAAATCTGATTTGACTTTTTCCGTTTACTGCAATACAAAGATCCAATAATTAATAAATGTAATTCATATAATTTAAATTTCACACCTGTCTATAACAGAATAACTGTTTCAATTTACCAAAATGATTAACAAAAAGTTTGTTACAGGGAAAGTTACTGCAAGGCACTCAACTGAAACCATATACAATAATTTAAAGATCTGTGACATGCAGCAAAGGTCCCCGGCTAGAATCAAGCCATGCACATTACACTGCAGCCATTCTCCTACCAGAGCCCTCCATCACAGTCTCCTTTGAGAAAACACTCCTTGTGTGATGCACATTGGGGAAAATCAGCTTTGACGTTTTGCTCAGAATAACACAAAACATGAACTCACCCACATCTGGGAGATTTTCTTGGCTTTTATTGCAGTATTAATTCTATCACAAATCAGTTTCAATAAACACTAAAACTGAATGAAAACTGAAATGCAGCATTAGTTTTGTGCATAAAAAATTAAAATGGCTCATTTTTAATTCATTTTATGTTTAATAAGGTGGAAGAAGAGAAGTGAAAGCTCATGTTTAATAAATGAAAGCTCACATATTTCACACAAAGAAGCAAAAGCAACTGTGTAATAGATGTATGGCAGCACTACATACACACACACACCATGAAACTACATTACATTCTACAGTACTGTGGGTCACTGGTAACTTTAGTGCCATATACTGGATAAAACATTTCACAGTAATACCACATACTATGCAACTATATTCAGTATTCAACTATTATTCACATTCTTTGAAACTACATAATAGACTAATCAATGAAGTGTGCTTAATTAAGTGACCAGCTTCAGTATGTGTGACCAGCAGATACATTTAAGCTTTGACAATGGCAAACTCTTGATATAATGAATTACATTGTGAAGTAGTCATATACAGTTATATGTATATAGATTATTAATGTATGGAGTGACAATTCCGTTTGTGAAATGATGTAATCGCTATGTTTACATGTTATTTGGCTCACCCTCTTCACTTTTTTTTACACTCTATGGCCTTCATCAGTGGAACCCACCGAGACACACGGTGTCCTTTAGTTTTGGTCTGGCACAAGCTCGGCCACGTGCCGCGTTTGATGTTCACAGGACCGTCATAATCGTCGGCTTCCGAGGTGATCTCCATCTTCTGGATGATGAGCTTCAGGAGGTTGTGCTGCTTCTCCAGCATGCTGGACATCTCTTTCATCCTAGAGAACAAACAGTCATATCCTTCTTTAACATGGTCACAGCCACTCAGTCTTGGAACCACTAGATGGCGCACATGCATCAAAAACAGCTATTAAGTTGTCCTTTTCCACTATTTTAAATTATTTTCCACACACCTTTTAGTGCGCACTCTGCATGAACCACTTTTAACCATTGCATGACTTATGGTAATTAATTGCATTTGTGGTACTTCTCTCTAAGGTGACTATGCTACTTTTATTTAAGTGGACAATCTGAGTACTTCTTTCACCACAGTTTGTTTTACCTGCTTTTGTGCTTCACAAGCTCATTCTCTATCAGAGTGCATTTCTGTGATTTGGACTGCAGATGACTCCAAACATCATTTTTCTCCTCTTCCCCTGAGATGAGTTGGTTTATGTAGCGCTATAAAACAAGTGAGCAAGATCAAGGCAGATGTCTAACTGCTATAAGTTACAAAGAAAATAAATGTTGAATAGCTGTTCACTGAGCATACCCTGGAGCACTTGCGATTGGGGTAGATAGTGATGGAGGGTTTGTCGACCCTTTTCATAAACCAATAAGGGAGCTTATCTTCCAGAGCGGTGTGGAGGTCAATCTGAGGTCAAAAGGTCAGATTTTGACAGCCTCTGCTGATCATTACTTAATATTGTTACATTAAGTACATGTCACTTCTCGCAAAAATGTTGCCATATTTGCATTTGTTGTGAATCAAACAGGTTAGAGTTTTATTTGGATTTTGCTACATATTTTGAATGTGTGGTTGTCCACAAAGTACAGTATAGCCATGGCAGACTGGGCAAGCACAGAGCAAGCAACTTAAAAGATGTTTCATGCTCTGAAAAGGCAACATACATTTTAAAAGAGAAAACCTGGGAACAGACTGTTTTCACACATACCTGCATGGCAATTCTCTTTAACGAAGCATTTCTTTGTACTTCTGCAATGTCTCCAACTGCTAAACCAATCTACAACAACAAAAGCTTTTATAATGAATGTCAGATATTCAGCTATTAACATCAACTCACACCTTTAATGAGAGAAGTGGAGCTGTTCATAAGTGCAAGGAAAAGGAATCAAAGCACCGGAACAAATATAATATTTTATAACAAAAAATAATGTAGCAAAAAGAACTAATGTGTAGATGGAAGGTCACTGTTCACAGTCAGGACATGCTTACCAGCAGGTTCACCAGCAGTATTGGCATGAGCAGAACAAAGTTCACAAAAATGAAGTAGGTTAAGAGACTGAACGGAAGCTCATGTTTTAGATAAGTATCAAGGAAGTTATTCTGGTAGTTCAGTTCCCCGACCATCATCACAAAGGTCTGCATCACTGACAGTGGTACACTGTCAAACTCTTTCTAAGGGTAGACAAAAAGGACATTTATTATGGTTAAATACAGCAGGGCTTATACATGAATTAGCTTGATATTCTCCTACCTGGTTTAGCATTAGAGCATGAAACGCCAATCCAAATGCTAACATCAGGTACAAGAACAGCATAACAATCCGGACCAGTGTCTTCATGATCTCCCCAAACATCACAACATAGATACCAACACCCTCAAACCTGAAGAAACAGCAGATTATACCAAACTGTGGCTTTTGCACCATGAAAAATATATCATGGGGCATAAGAGGAAATGAGGCATTTAAATCAGAATGAACAGTACCTCTGGAGATAAAGGAGAAATCCAACCCAGGAGTTGAAAACTGCCACTGCCCCTGCTTGCCAGTGTAAAGAACCCTCTGCATTGAACATGATGGGGATGATGAACAGAAGAGAGCAGACGGCCGAGAACCAGTCACACTGGTTGGAAAAATCCTTGAAGTAATTCCAGCGCTTTCAAGTGATAAGAGAAAAATACAAAATAATTTAACAAGGAGACAAAGTTTCTTACCCAGTGTTCCATGCCTGAGTAGCCAGTACAGTGTTTCACTTAGATAATCATGTGTGACACCATTTGAACTGTACATTTCTGAACATGGAATGTGATGTGGCAGTGTTTCTTATAAATGTGGTCAAATGAGGTAGGGTAAAGGTCTGACCACGGGCATTCACTGATTCTCCAAATCTGTGTAAATCACCACACACACACACACACACACACACACACACACACACACACACACACACACACACACACACACACACACACACACACACACACACACACAGTGACTGCTAGTGTATCCACTAGATTTATAAGCACAAGTTCTATGTGTGGTAATGACTCTTGCGTAACAGTACCTGTTGCGTTATCTGCACCAGTTCCTTCGCTATGCAACAGATGTTCATGACAAAGACCATCACCATACAGAAGGACAAGAACAGACTTTGCTGTGAAATAACAAAATTAAGACTTAACTTAATTCAGGGATATATACTGCATCATAATCATGTTTATAACTGTGCTATATAGGCACTTGATTCATTCACATGCAGCTATTTTTTTAATACTGATCACTGTCATTAGTACCTCTAGGAAAGAAACAGGCACCATCATGATACTGTGCTCGCCTGTGTCAGTAGTGTTCATAGTAGGCCTAAGAGTCACCATCAGGTGAGTCAAAGGCAGCAAGCCTAACAGGTACATGAACATGTTGAGCAAATGAGCTTTGCTCCCATATGCAACCCTGTGGATGAAAAAGAAAGACACCTAGAGCAGTTATGACATTAGAAAAGTGACATTCAAAGTAAATGATGCAATGGTATTTTGGAATAGAGGGAATCATGCTTCTTGCAATCTGAGCAGCAGTCACAAACTGTCAAATAAAATCACTCAGGGGTTGAATTACACATACACACCACTTCATTGCCAGGTACTTTTTGCAGACAGGGTGGTTGAGGAGCTCAATGCGGTTGTACTGCGCCATCGCCTGCAATAAGAGTAGCAAAACAGTCTGCTCTTAACCACACATACAAGCAGGAAACAGCAGCCTGAGCTAAAAAGAGGTTTAAAATATGTGCATATTCTTGATCTCCACAGGAGTATAGTAGGATCACATCAGCAGGGAGAAACATGCACCGTTTTACTATGTTGATCAAAGATTGTGTTTTGTAATATATTAAATAATGCAGTGACACTAGTGAAGGAAGTGGTGGTTGCTATGTGGATGACTAACAATTACATAACATCTTTTGTTCTTCTGGCAGAGTTCTTCAATAAAGCCTGGTAAATTTGGTCACTCATAAAAGGAAATTAGTTCAAAGTTAATTATAATATAATCCAGTCTTATATGAATTTGCAGTACAAAGGTGTGCTTTTTAAGTTAGTGTTTGTCCAAGACAATCACTAATCACACATGGCACTTGGTAAAGGATGATATGGCATTGTGACCCTTCCTCCACCTCCCCCGATACATCCACTACAATGCACAATAAGAGATTGAGCACTACGACAGCCAACGGCAGTGGGTATTGAAAGTAAAATCTCAGCCTCAGACCTTGCATATATAATTGTCACTGTAGAACAGTGGATGGTGAAAAGTGTCTCCACTATCCCTTAACAGGCTTATCCTCATGCAAAATAAGTGCACTCGGCTACATGAAGGTGAGGAGTTAAGTTTACGGTCAGTCACTGCTCATCAGTCATGGGGCAGCGGTGTATTTGCATTGTGCTACATTAGTCATATTCTAGAAGGAAGCTGCTTACATTGAGGGCAGCCAGTGGCTGATACGTTCCAGTCTTGTCACTCGACTTCTTCACTGAAATGGGGGCTTGGAGCCATGTGAAATCATATTCAATCTACAACAAATAAAGAACTGCAGTTATTTCCTTGTATAGTAGATATAGTACTTTATACATTTTGTATATATAGTAGATATGCTAGAGAGTGTTTTGTATAAGTTGTAGCTGAATTACATGGTAGTCAGGACTGTTGTGATCATCATCTGATTCCTTCACACAGCGGTCCAGTAGGTGCTATTGAAGAAAGTAAAAAATAATGTGACAGACAGCGTATCCTGTATACAGTGTATGAGGCGAGTTAATGTGCACACACACACACTTTTTGATAGTGTGTTTTTTTTCTAACCTTGCAGGTCTCAGGCAGGAACTCTATCATATCTAGTATGGGACATCGCTGGCTTGAGTTGTGTTTGAACAGCTGTAAAGCCTCAGCACATCTGGTAGATGAAATACAAAAAAAATAACCTTAAAACCAGTAAAAAGTGTAGACATTTTAAAAACTGTGTCTCCAAAAGTAAACTAGTGATTTGTGGTACTACTGGAGTCTAAATAATGGTATGGTCACATAAAAACATTTCAACTTCAAATTTTGTGCTGTTGAAAAAGTTGTAAAAGTTATTTTAAACTTGAGCCTTTTCTTTTACATAACAGTTTTAATAACCCACCTCTCACTGTCAATTACAGTATTCACCACATCTTTTTTCCCATTTTGCAAAGCTTCATGAAGGAATGAAGTGTCATTCTTGTTTAAGATGAGCTCTGCTCCCCGAGCCAGCATGAGCTTGACTGCAGCCACATGTCCCTCTCTTGCTGCAACATGGAGTGCAGTGTTCTGAAAGATACAAAAATAACAGCACGCAGTGCACTGTATTTATTATAGGACATTAATTATTAGTGCCCTGGTGTTTGGAAACCAGCTGAACATATCATTCATAAATGACTGAAGGCTATAGTGTGAAAATAGTAAACAATGGTATTTCATACCCCATCCTCATCTGTTTTATCCAGTAACTTGGGATTGGCTGACAGGAGAATGTCTATAGTATGTGTGTACCCTTCAGATGCAGCATGATGCAGACAAGTCAAACCTTTGTAATCACTGCACACAGGACAAACAACAAATAAAACAAATTAAACTTGTAGACAGATGTATGTAGAGCAAGCGCTGCAGGTTTGCAAGTATGTCTACACAGTGTATAGATGAAATAATAGTACAACATGCTGTTTTGTTTGTGACCGTTCAATCATTTTTTGGGGGGTAACCTGTGAAAGAGGGCTCCTTTGCGCAGTAGCAGCTGTACCACCTTGGTGTGTCCCCCTTTTGAAGCCAAATGAAGAGGTGTCAGGCCCCGCTCATCACCTTCATTTAGCAAACGAGAGTCTGTAATGGACTCTAGCAGTCGCTGACATGTATTGATGCGTCCATACCTTAAGGAACAGAGATTAGGAGAAGCATTAGGCTGTGGAAGAACTTTTAGTCTTAAGATCTGATTATCTTTTAAGTAGAAACACTGTGTGCAAAGCCCAGAGAACAAAGCCAGAGCTTTGAGGCATAATACAGCACATTTCCTCTTGGTGAATTATTTTTGTTTACAGACACCTAATGTTATTGTTAAAAGGCATGAACCTTTAGTTAAAAAGCAGGTAGAGCTTGGGGTGTTTTAATAAATAATGGTGCTGTAAACTACAAGGAGTTAAACCTGTATCAGAAGTTATGCTATGCTCTTTCTTCACCTCAAACTTTTAAAGTTAGCAGCAGCACTTTTGTCAGTGCACAGGGACAGGTGGGGAAATGAGGTGTCTAGAAAAGTTAAAGTATGACATCATACAGGACATAGTGACCATCACATCTTCTCTAGCACTAATGAAATTGGCCTACAGTACAGGGTGGAAAAATCAATATCAAAAATAATGGCTGTCCACTCATTCCACACTATCAATAACATTTCTTTACATGTTTCTTGTTAATTTAATTTCAACTTTGTGAGAATTCCTTTGGATAACTGTGTATTAGGTATGTGCTCCAGCTGGGGGAGCATGATTCTTGAATAACTAGAGAAAGTTTTTGTGTTTAAACTGTTTATTTGAACTGTCTCTACCCATTGGCTGGAACTGCCTTATGATGTAAGATAAATTTTAGCGTAAGCTGACAAAGTAATGTAGTATCATATTACACAGAGTAACTAGAGGAACATTTTCAGAATGATCCTAAGCTACTAGTGAAGCTGATTAAGACAAGGATGATGTGCAACTGCATTAAACCCTAATAAAGCAATTTCTCAAAATAAATTAGGAGATTGTGTGTAGAAAGTAATGGCTCTAGCTTTTTACCAGCAATTCCATGGGATCTATTATAAAATATAAAACACTAACATATAAACAAAGAGCATACATGTTGCATACCACATTAGTCAACAGCAGTGACCTTACTGGTACTTTCATTTAAGCAACTTGGAGCAAAAATCAAGTCAAATCAGTGATGTTTAGTTCACTAGTATGGAAAGTGATTCCCTTGGGAGCTGGTCAAACTCACTGAGCAGCAAAGTGGAGGGCAGACTTCTTGTCCTTCGACTTGCATTTGAGACCGACCTGCCCTGAGAGGCCCAGCATGTTCTTCACTGAGTCATGGATACCCAACCTACAGGCGTAGTGGAGTGGGGTGCAGCCTTCATTGTCCTCACAACTCAGCAATACCTTCACACTGTTAAGCTAAAAGTTAAACATGTTAAACACCTTGTATTGATACATTACTGTAGGCCCATATTAAGTATTGCACAGATGCATTGAGCATTCTGCAGCAGTCCTGCAAGCATTAATGTATGCTCTAAACCTGCATACATCAACTGTCCACTAGTGCTCATTTTGAAGGCTTTGGCTCATTGTAGTTTTTGGTTAAGTTTACATTGTTTTAAATAATTATCTGGCTCAGTGAGAGTGTAAGGAACCTTGTCATCTGCCTTGAATTCATGCAGCTTTGATCAAGGACAGTACAGTTTCTAGTCTTAGTGATATCTTTGTCTAAGCCACATATGGTGCATTTGGTAGGCTACAAACAGACTACACTGACAAATGTACCTGCAGTACTTCTTCTGGGAGATTCTTCAGACCCTTGGGCTGCAGAATGGCCAGGTGAAGGAAATTGCAACCATAACTGTCTCTCACATTTACATTTGCCCCTAAAAAGATTGCAATAAATACTGTATTAGGTTTTTTTTTTTTACAAATTATGCAAGCATTGCTTGAGGAGTTACGAAGTACAGTACTTAGGCTCACCTTTTGACAGAAGCAGAGCCACAGTTTTCCATGCTCCACAGCTCGTAGCCAGCAGCAAGGGAGAGTTTCCTTTACAGTCAGTGCTGTTTAGGTCTGCACCCTGAGGAGAAAGTGCATTAAAGTGTTGTCTCTTTCAAGGGTCTAAGGACACAGGGTGTTGTTCACTGTTAAAATTGTAAAGACCTTTGAGCATAGGCAGAGCCTGGGATGGCCAGGGATGGCATTGGCCACCCCCATTTGAGAGCCCCCCCCCCTTGCCAGAGTCTAAATGTGATACTTGTCAGTATTAATGAATGAAAAACCAAAAACAATGACAAGTTGTTACATCAAATCAAACTAAGATATTTCCAGTGCTTTATAGTTAATATCTGTCAAATTAGTTTTACTTTACAACATGCATGCAAAATAAATTAGCAATACACCAAGCCCAAAACCTTGGTGGATCCATTGGTAGAGAGCCTCTTTCAATTTTATATTCTGCCGTCGAATAGTCTCTGGTGAAAGCTGATGTCAGTCTCTGTAGACTAATTCATAGTTTGACATCTGATATACTCAGGGTATACAAGTTTATGTTCTGCTCCAGTGTTTGCTAACAAAATGAGCTGACAGGAAATAAACCTTTTCCTAGCCTGTTTAAACAGGCTATAAAGTGCTACAGATGGTGACAGATGGTCTACAGGGAAATGGCAGCACTTTTAACCTTCGCAAGATGTGTTTGAAATACTAATGCTATTTAGTGGTGGCAATGATTACAGATAAAGTGGCAGGATGACCGAATTACAAAATCCAAAGAGTATAGATAGTCCCCATCAAAAATGCAAAAGTTGTTGAACAAATGCAGTTTTTCCATATTTGATGCATTTTCTTGCACTTAAGGCAACAGATTAATAACACAATCCATGATACTGATGTCCTTCGCCCGATTGCTGGCTGGGATTGGCTCCCGCCCCCCCCCCCCCCCCCCCCCCCCCCGCCGACAACGAGGTGGAAAAGGCAAATGAATGAATGAATGATACTGATGTTGGAAATCTCCTTTGCATAACAGGTGTGGGGTGTGTTTGTGTATATTTGTCTGCCTTATTTACCAAAGAAATTAGGTACTCTGCCAGGTCTGCATGGTCAAATATAGTAGCCCTGGAAAAGTAAACACAATTGCTGTAAACCAACCACACAACACATGATTTTCTGAGGTCAGATATCAACTAGGGACAGGCTAAATCAAATTTATCTTTATCAGAGCATGATAACAACCAGAATTGTCTTTGTGGCTACACTTTTAACTCCAGGACTGTAATGGTTCATTTAGTGACATTTTAATAACTGTATCCTGGTATTTTGGTGACATTCTTCAGGAAGAAAGAGACTACAGCGAATCTAGAATCAATTCTAGATTATTATCCATTTAGTATTTGTACTTTATGTTGTGAAGATAAACCAATAGTTCTAAATTTTGGAATATATACATATTTGCCAAGATTTGTCATTTCTGTACAGCAAACAGGAAGCCACAGTCTAGCTCAAACAGGGGTCTGTCAGTAGTTATCAAAACACACATACTGCATCTGTATGTCTAAAGCTCTGTAACACTAATCTGTACCAAAACAGAACATTAAGAAAAACAGTTTGTGAATTTACAGGAGATTACTTACCAAACAAACTTGACATGATCAATAGACTGAATACTGTCAGTATCAAAATGGAGGCGTAGGGGAGCCCACCTGTGTAGAGGGGTCTGATGTGCCCCATCTGTCAGGTTGATTACATCTTCCACTTGGTCAAAGGAGGAGAGCATCAGTTTGACCACCTCAGTAGCACCCTGAGTGCAGGCCAAATGAAGCGGCGTGGACCTGTCATTCTGGACAGCCACAAACACTGATGCATTATGAATACAGTAAATCAGTATAATAAATATTCACAAGCTCTTTTGACACAATTAGGATTATTACGTACAGAATCACTGCCTCATACCGAGTTAGACAGAGCACATATTGTACTGTACACAGGAAGCAGCATGCACACTAATCACTCACACATGTCCCCACTATAACATTAGCAAAGCAACTTGCAGGTTTGCTGACTGAACACAGGTGTAACACAAGCCTCTGATGAACACATGACTGACAGGAGGATGCCAGCGGTTGCTCCACTCAGCTTTATAGTATAAATGGAGGCAATGTTGTATCATTCTAGCCAACTGAAGCCATTACTGTACTATTCCAGCTGTATCTGTGCCGCTAGACATAATGGTCACTCCCAGATAGAAGTGATAACACTAACCTGCTATAAAAATACACAGAGATTTTTTTTTGTTTTGTTTGGGAAATGCTTTACAGCTGAAGGCAAATGGAATCGAGATTTAAAAAAATGCAAATCTGGCAAGTCATGAGGTGAACAGATGGAAGTTGAATAGAAGCATTTGTTATTTGTAGCCTCCAGGTGTATATTTATGATTATGTGATGCTGGTATGAAAAACAGCCAACACTTTGACAACCAAATGTCTGCCCTTCTCTATGCCCAGTTTGAAGGTTTATGAAAAGTGCAGATGCATGCAGTGTTATGTATTAAACCAACGCTGACATGTGTACCTAATCTTGTTTGTTTTGTGCCGTCAGTACCTGTTGCTGGTCGACTTTGGCCCCATTAGCGATGCAGCAGCGAATGGTTTCAAGATTCCCTCCACGAACAGCCAGATGGAGGGGACTGCTATTGGATTTGTCTAAATAGTTAATATGTGTTAAAATGGAGTAGCCCAACTCCTCTCCTGCCGAAACAAAATTAAACAGTTTAATTGTGAATAAAACATTGTATTCATATAAGGCTTGTAATGAAGGTTTTCTTTAGTTAATGCTTGTTGGTGTAAGTTTATTTGTATTTATTACTGAGGTCCATCTTATACCTTTCTACTTTCACTTTAATATCTAGCTCCTTTCATGTTGTACTGTGAATAGCCATCAGTTCCCTTGCTCAGCAATCACAGAAATATAAACATTTTGTCCCTGGACTAAACCTTTTTTAGCAGCACACCATTTACTAAGCAGACCTCCCACTGTGGATAAACACACTGTCAGTCAGCGACCTCTGTATAAAGTATCATGGACATTTTTCTGCAAAATATCTGAACTCTGTTGTCATCCAGCTGTTTGGCCTTATAAAAACCTTTTTCGTTTTTGTCAGCACTTTCAGTTTTGATGATGGATTATTCATTTCATCATACCATTCTTCAGGATCTCTTCCATGGCTTTCTTTGCACCAGAAAAGGCAGCTGCGTGAATGGGATAATGGCCGAGTTTGTTCTGTTGGCACAGTCGCGCTCCATGCTTCATCTTCGGGAGACAGGAGAATGGATGACAGACAGACATTATTCCAGTGAGCAGGCTGTCAGTTTCATGACTGTAAGACGTTGTGCATGGATGACAGTTATCCTTTAAGCGCTGATGCAGGTATACACTAAGAATGTATGAATATAGTCTGAAAGCCTTGTACATACCAATATTCTGATAGCCTCACAGTTGTTGATGGAGCAGGCCAGCATCAAGGGGTTGTTTCCAAGGTCTCCCTCCAGATTACAGTCTGTAATGCTGTAAGATACCAGTAGCTGTAGGGGGCAGAGATAAACACGATGTGATCCACCCTGTGCCTACTGTTCTCAACTCTAATACCCATGTCTGCATCCTTTACCCTTTACCAGCCAAATGCTATGGGGATAACATGATAAGTAGACTGCTGAGTCAGATATGGAAACAGCAATGGGTTTACTTTGGAATGCAGTGGCTGCTCAAAGCTCCTAAGGCATAAATTTGATGATGCAATGTTTTTGAGCCTACCATCTTTCCTGTTAGCAGGAAATCAGGATGAACTAAAACTAAAGGAAAAAAGCTTGACAAGCATTGAAAATGTAATTCACAAAGCAAATTTACTCAAATAGGCACTGTATAAAAATCTGAATATTAAATTTGATTATATTACATATCTGCAGTCCCTTCCCCCTTAGGGCTCTGAAGAATGCTGCATTTATGGCAAACATCAAATGACAAAAACACAGTTTAATGTATTTTTATATAATATCACAAATAAAAAATGTGAAGCAAACTACAAATGCGGGGAAAACAAAACAAGACTACTCTATCATGAGCAAAAATACACAGAATGCCAACCTGCTTTTCTGACTCCACTCCTACTGTACCATAAATTTTTTATAGTCTCTTAACAGAAAAACACCCAAACCAAAAATTCATTGGTCATTTTCAGTCATCACTCAAAAAGCACCTCCAAATAATCAAGATGGGGTGTGTCATTTGTGCCTAAAAAATCGGCAATGACCATGTTATTTCTGAGAAAACACCACAAGAGGAAACAAATTTCATATAAATTGCTGTTTCAACTGTTTTTCAGCCTCCTCACTTCCACCAGAATGTTGTATCCAAGGTTGACAGCCAGGTGCAGAGGGGACAGGAGGACCTTGTTGAGAATATTGGGGTTGGCCCCCAGGTCTAAAAGAGTCCTGCAGCTCTCGGCCTGGTTGTTCTCCACTGCCCAGTGTAGAGGCACGTTGCCCTGCTCATCACAGCTGTTCAGTTCTGAGGATACAAGTACATGTGAAAATATACATTGTCAGAAAGCAGGTGGGAGTGGACCCAATGTACAGACACACCAGGAGCTGAACACAAAGGAGTTTAGTACATATGCAAAAGAACGGTGGACAGAGCAAGTACTGGACGACACAGGTAAGTAGCGTGGAGAAATGGAGACTGGGGAGCGGAGAACACAGAGCCTGGGAACGAAGCTGGGAGTGCAAAGCATGCACAGTGTAGAATAGCAAGGACAGAAGCATCAGTGAACTATAAAAATGCAAGAAGCAAAAGGAAAAGGGGCGTATATGTAGTAGACTAAAATGGGAGATAACGAATGACAGGTGGATGCAATGATGGGTGATTACACTGGTAGAGACGTGACAAGCAGGGAGAGACGGAATCTGGAGAAAAACATCAGAAAAACAGAAAGCGAGATCCACAAACCATAACACACATGTGCACAAACACAAATACATAAAGGTACTTGTAAATACTGCCACCTCTTATAGTACATGTACTAGGCCAGATATTTATAAAAATCATTCATACTGTTCCATACAGTAGCTTAAAGAATGACTGTACAGTGATTCACAACATTTTACTTGTGCTGAAGTGTAAAGCAGTGACTGACGTGTGCTTACCCTGTGAAGTTATGACAGAGGTGATGAATTGGATGAGATTGACATGGCCCCCTCCAGCAGCATGATGAAGGGGGCTAGCCCCACATTCATCTTTCTCATTCATGACGTCTGGGCTCTTCCTCACCAGGTTACCCAGGAGAGTCAGGTCACCCTTCTCAGTCAACTACAGTTAAATATAAAAAGCAGCAGAGAGAGAAGGGAAGATGTCCGTTAACATACAACTCAATTTGTTCACATCTGATTTCACCACAGATTCATGATAACAAGACTAACTCTGGTAAAAGCTGATAGATGTTAACATTTATCCTTAAGTGGTTTCTGATGTTGCTGAAATATAACAGGTATTACTCTTTGTTTTATTGTCAGGCAACTCTGTCTTAAATACAACGTTATACGATACCAGATTTGTCGTTAGGTCCCTACTCAGCTCTTTACCATGACTTTCTATAAGGTTCTTCACCAGCATGAGTTAGGACCAAATTTCAATATTTTTCCTTCAACTTCAACTCCAACTATACAATGTCTACAATGCTTGGACTTGGACTACTGTACGTTGCACAATAACATCCACATAAGATCTACCACACACCAACATATGATCTGGGTAGTAAGTAATATTACAGATGTACTGATCCACAACAAATAATGGTACAGACTTGCAACTAAGATCAAATGCTAGCTGAAATTCTCCTGATGCAGCAGGGTGTCAACAGATTTGATGTATCTTCACGTTACTGAGCCAAGTCCTGAAGAAAACTGCCATTAATGAAATACCATTTGCCTGAATAACTTTCAAACTAATTATATCAATGTGATTCCAAATGCTAGGGGCAGGTCTTCATGGTCAAAGATTCATATTATGAGGGTCACTCTGTTATGGGTACATAGCTTTTAGGTGTAATGGCATTATGGAGACAGTGGTTTATGCTCTGGTGTACTGTAAGCCTCACCTCAAATACATTTAGGTTTGCCACAGCTGGATCCTCATCCTCTATGACGTATGTGTAACAACTGGTCTGTCTGACCACGTCCCTGCTGAAGTTCATCACTTAACAGACATTCAGTGGAGATGGCAATGACACGTGTCTGGGCATAAGCACAAACACACACATGAATGCACATAATTATATGCAAGCAAGAGCAAAATGCTAAAAAGAAGAAGAAGAAATCCACTATACTGTATTTTAAATCAAGTCATATACCCTGTACATAAACCCAATGAACAACATTCAGTGTTATGTGACTCAGGATAGATAACCCTATGCCATAGCATCCTCCCAACAAGAGGGGATATGGGCACAGACGACTATGGTTTTACCCAGAAGGGCATTCAGACCCACCAAATGTTTGGAAGCTGATTAGGTTCTTCACAGCTGCTGGATATTTTATTTGAGTCTGTCCTAGGCATCTTTGGGTGAGACTGAGAAAGAGCTTATATTGTATTGTATGAGGCACATGAAAATTGGAAAACAATAAATGAGATTTTTGGTAAACAAATTGCTATGTAGAATCATCAGTGGAATCCTATTGATCTTACACAGTAGCATTCCCTTGACGAACAAAGAGAGAAGCTGTTTCTCAGGATTAAAACAACACCTTGGTTTATACTGTCACTCAGAACCAAGAGTACACTTATGTACAGTACAACTTACTTCAAACACTTATGATATACACTCAGTGGCCACTTTATTAGGTACACCTGTACAATTGCATGCAATTCAATGCAATACTTCCACCTTAACATCTGTATTTATGACGTTCAAAATGTTTCAGTTTTTGGTGAAATTGTCATAAACGTATAAATTCGATGATATGTGTATTATTGAGGTCATATTTAACGGTGATGTTGTACTGGACTACATTATATTCAGAGGTGTTCCTAATATTCTTTTTTTTTTTTTAGAGGAAATACTTTAGTACAAGTGCCCGTGCAAATGAACTCCACTTTGCTTTCTGTGTGGAAACATCTTTAGGTCTTTCACATGTCTAAACTGCCTGGGGTCGTGACCTCAGGAAGCTGCACACAGTCACTGTGTTGTTCAGTAAGAGAGAGCTCCAGCACAAAACTCCCCAGGAACAACATTGTCCTTCTCAATGTAAACAGACAGAAGGCCATGTGTTAATCAGTGACCTTCAGAGGTGGTGGCAGGTGGATTCTGTCACCTGTGGACAGAGCCAGACTAGCTGCTTCCCTCTGCTAAGCTAGGCTAACCCCGTGCCGAGGTCACGATCCATCTGGTCATCTGCATTCCCTTAAGTGCTGCAGTATTAAGCTTCTTTCTCATAAAATCAAATTATTGTTCTGGTCATATTTAAAGTCTTAACACTATCACACAGCTAAATCAAATTAGACCTGTTCTTTCAGAAGAAAAACCCCTTTCTAAAAGTCAACAGTTTTGGAGTGTTGTTTTCACAATAAAAGCCCTGTTTAATACCCGTCTACCAACGTACAAACAGCAGAGCCAGCTCTCGGTGTAACCCAGTCCAGTTGAACAACAGCACAGCCTGCAGCCTCCGCAGTGAGAGCACAGGTGAACCAGCAACAGTCTGAACCAGCAACAGTCTGAACATCATCATCTTCAAGGAAAAGGGTTTACTGCAGCACGGTGGGTCAGACTGAATCAGTCTGACACAGGGGTTCCTAATAAACTGACCACTGAGTGTATGATTTACCCCCTTCCCTGGCTCAGTAGAGGCTGGTGTTCCTAATATTCTGACCCTTACAGGTTACAGGTGTAGCATTGTTTCTGAAGAAAACTAAAAAATGCAATTTCACCCATTTTGTTTGTAATAAGATATTGCCAGACATTTCCATCAAAAAAAGGTTTCCATTAGGCTCCATCAATATTTCAGTACGTCTTATACTTGCATCAGACTTGCACTTACGTCCTGACCACAATATAAAATAAATGAGTCACCACTCATCCACGTTTTTCACATTCTTTGTAGTCCAGCTAGAACTTCACACTGCGGTATGCATAACAGGATAGCAATCACCCCAGTGCAATAAATTGTCAATAAAACCACTGTATATATCTGAAAGCTCTTCTTCCACAATATGTAGAATGTATATTTACACAGTATATATATATATATATATATATTTATAAATAGATTGTTCTCTTTTTGTCCTATTCTCTGTCCCATTTGATTGCACATTCTTCCTATTTTAAATGCATACATTTTTATTTTTATTTATTTTCCTGTTGCCTTATATAATACACTGAGAGTCTCTACCAGAGTGAAAGTCCTTGTGTGTTTAAACATACTTGGGCAATAAAGCTGATTCTGATTCAGCACAAACTGGACAGTGTAGCTTCATTCTTGTCTAATTTGGTGAATTTGATAATGACACACTGTACTGTCTGTCACCCTACCCATCCCTTCCTTCCATCAGTGGTAAATAAGTATCACTGTAATTGAGTATATTTGTAAAAGCCAGATGTGCAGGAAATGCACTAATGGGCACTGGTAAACACATTTCCCAACTGACTGAAAAACAAGTAGATGTAACTCCATTTAACAGTGACATCCTTGCATGCAAGAGATTTACTTTCACAGTTTAGTCATCCATCCATCCATTTTCTATACCGCTTATTCCTGAATAGGGTCACAGGGGGCTGGAGGCAATCCCAGCTGACACTGGGAGAGAGATGGGGTCCACCCTGTACAGGTCTATCACAGGGCTGACATATATATACAGTAGGATACATTCTTGATGGTGGAATTTATTTTAAAAAAACATATATACATAAGTTACATAAAATGAAATAGATTGATTCCTAATGTTAAAGGTTTTACAAAAAAAAAAAATCTTGAATGAATTCTATTATGTTAAATTAGGATCTTCATACTTCAATGAACATGGAACAAAGTGATTATAAGCTGAATAAATGATGACTGATGAATAGAGAACACATTATACATGTGGAAATTTTAAGTGAAACACCTGCGAAAGCTAAAACATATTTTCTAGAATAAAACATTTGTCAGCATTTGAATTTTTATTTCTAATATCACTGGTGGAAAATAAGTACATTTACTCAAGTACTGTACTTAAAAAAAGTCTGAGGTATTTGTAATTTATTTGAGTATTTGCCACTTCATATTTTGACTTCACTACATCTCAGAGGTAAGTATTGTACTTTTTACTCCACTACATTATTTGATCATATTAGTCACTAGTTACTTTTCAGAATCAGATGTATAAATCAAAATTAAATATAAACATAAGACTTTATTGATCTCTGGTGGGAAATTCACAAAGGTAACTAGCAGAACTTCAAATTAAAAGCATAGAAATAATTAAACTTCCACTGCAACATTAAGGTGATGCACACAATAATACATCAATACAATACAATAATATGATAGAAATTAATGTGTAATGTGTCATTTTGCATAACAAGTACTTCTACTTTAAGTATATTTTTATACTAATGCTTGTGTACACTTACTTAACATTTTGAATGCAAGGCTTTTACTTGTAACTATGGTATCACTATTTTTACTTAAGTAAACAATCTACTGAATATCTTCCTTTACCCTCATAGCAATCAAACATTAAAGCCAATGTTGTAAGACAAAGTACTTACTGTATTTGTATGATGCCACTGTTGAGCTGAGCAAACTGAATGCTCTCCTCACCACGGCAAAAGGACTTTAAATAGTGTGGGGAGTGAACTATTTCCCAGTCTGTCTCCTGATGTAGGCAAGCCGCTGCCCTTTGTGACCAAATAACTCTCATGATGTTTCCACAGAGGAGGCAAGCTCATATTGTAATCTGGTAGGAAATTTCACAGACAATACATTAAGCAGCAAACATGATGCTGCTGTTACCCTCACAATAAGTTTTAATAATGTATGTGCATGGATGCTTGATACTATATTTAATGGAGGTATGAGTTTTAGTCTTTTACACAATAATGGTGAAAAACGTTTTGGTTGTCTTTTGTTTTTGTTTTTTGTTTTTTCATTTTATTTTGTTCCTTGGCCCTGAGGTGTGAAAGAGATAAATCAACAGGGTTTCACACAACATTTCAGACTACTTCTTGCCCATGACTGGGCAAAGCCAAAGCCATTTAATTAACCCTTGGATGCACA